AGACTATAGAAAGAGACTAATTGTTGTATGTGTTAAACTCTAAACTTGTCTATTGATAATTTTAGCTTGGCTTATAGATAAGTTTTACTAGGCTTGTCTGGTAATAAGTAGATAAAAGATATACAAGTCCAAAAGTAGCCTAGCATGCTCATCCTCATCTTTTTCCCTGAAAATCCGCCGTGTACACTACCATGTAGTACTGTACAAATTTTCGGCGAGGCTCCATCTGAAATACTTGCCCTGTCCAGGGCACCAGTGCAAACTTCTTCTTTTTTCAAAAGAAATGGATCTTAACCACCCACGATCTACCAGGCCATCGCATAATCGGCAAGCAACAACTGCCGCTCCTCTGCTCCTCCGCCGTAGTCTCTCCTCTCCTGCTCGGCTCCGCTCCCCTCATATACGGAGTACTCCAACTCCATCAACCGCCTCTCCGCCTCCTCCTCCAGATCTCCCCATTCACACACACTCGCGCGCGCACAGAGACCTCCGAGGCCCAAGCGCAAGCAAAGCATCCACCCACCCATGGCGCCTCTCCTCCTGCTCTTCCTCCTCGGCGGCCTCTGCGCCCTCTTCTCTCTCACCACCTCCTCGCGCGCCAGCGTCAAGAAGTGCGAGGACGTCACGAGCGACGGCTGCGTGCCAGAGGAGACGCAGCAGCAGCAGCACGGGGAGAAGAAGGCGCGGGCCGACCCGGAGAAGGGCCTGGGCATCGTCTTCTCCACGTTCGACCACGACGGCGACGGCTTCATCACGGCGGTCGAGCTGGAGGAGTCGCTGCGCCGCCTCGGCATCGCCGTGTCCGCCGACGAGGCCGCGGCCATGGTCGCGCGCGTCGACGCCAACAGCGACGGGCTCATCGACATCCACGAGTTCCGCGAGCTCTACGACTCCATTCCCAAGAAGAGGAAGCACCAGCACCCCGCCGTCGCTGCCGGGGATTTCAGCGGGGCAGCGAGGGAGGTGCCGGTGGAAGGAGACGACGAAGAGGCCGAGGGGGAGGAGGATGAGGAGAGGGACCTGCGGGAGGCGTTCGACGTGTTCGACGGCAACAAGGACGGGCTCATCTCCGCGGAGGAGCTCGGCACCGTGCTGGGCTCGCTCGGCTTGCGCCGCCAGGGCAACGGCCGGACCGCCGTCGCCGACTGCCGCGACATGATACGCCTCGTCGACTGCGACGGCGACGGCATGGTGTCCTTCGAGGAGTTCAAGCGCATGATGACCGTCGTCAAGGCCTAGGCTCCTCCTCTTCTTCCTCCTCGCAGATCAAATCAAATACGAAACTTGGAGCGGCGGATTTGCAAAGGCAAGTAACGTTATTTTGTTCTTGGATCGGAAAAGACGCATCGGGGATTGGTTGGTAGCAGAAGCGCGATCCATTAACAAACGCACCAGGAGCTCGTATTAGTTCCTGCTCGCTGTCAGGTTAATCTGTGGAAAAATGAACAACTAGATGAATCAACGAGTATGACTTGTTCATTCGGTGTTTGTGTTTGGGACCCGTCCCTGTTCAAACAATTATGTTTAAGAATTGTCGATGATGTGTAACTGTACAAGTCTTCGTGCCATGCTTTCTATGACCAAACTTTGACAGTTGAAATCTGCTCTTGGCTGTAAGGTTGCCAGTTGCCTGTTCATGAAGTAGTAAAACCCAAAGAAAGTTCTTGTCTTTGTGGACAAGCTATGCCTTTTTTTACACTGTTTCTGATGACCCAGAGACTGTGATCGTGTGGATTTTCGTGGCATGTGTTCATACGTGTTCCACACCTCCAGTTGTTGCTTGGATGTTATTCCCTTGACAAATTCAGCGGACAAAGATTTGATGTGCTGCTACTTTTACCTGGTCACCGAAGAACTGATTCTCCAAGCAGTAACTCTTTCACACCACAATAAACATTTCTCTGAGAAGTAAAAAGACTTCTATTGGTTTCTGTGAAGTAAAAGACTTCTATTGGTTTCCTCCAAAATTAAAGAAAAATCATGCAACCTAAGGAAGATGACAAAAAAAGGGGTTCCTTTTTCTTTTGCTACAAATATATTTTTTTGTTACCGAATTCTTGCTCTGTATTGTGCCTAGTTGCACGGTATCATTGCATTATTATATTGGCCTGAATATTATGGAGCAGCAGCTTTCTGGTGCCTGCAAACTTGTAAGCTGCCTACGCTAATCCTTCCAATGACAATGATTTTCAGAAACCTCCCTTTGTCCGTTGCGACGTTCTGATCACAGACCCTTTAAACTGTGCTAGGTCAATGAAGATGGCATTTTGAAACGGCACTGAAAACTGTTTTAATTCTTCAGATCTCTGACAAATTAACAACTCCAATTCTATGATCTGGGCCGTGCAATTTATTTCCACAGAAGATGATAGGTCATGCAATTGCCGTCCATGTACCAAGATGTCAAGCTCACGACATCAAAAAAGAAAAGAAAAGAAAAAAAAAGAAAAGAAGATGCCAAGCTCACTCATGACTCATGACACCAATCAGAGTCGCTGATTATTGCTGCTTCCCATCGGTGTCCACGCGGCGTCATTTGCTGAGGTGCTGTACTACCTGTACATAACCACTACTACATAGTACATACGTACGCCGCGGTTGATGCAAATGGAGCCAAACGTTCCATTGGTATAGTGCCTAGATGGTTGACAAATGGAGCGGTGTGATGCTGTAGAAACGCCGGGTTTTCCACACTACTGCATTGTTAACTCGCTGCGAGTGTGATGTTTACTGCTATTTGGACAAGTTACATAAGTATATACTACTATCTTGGGTTGTTGAGCTGATCTGATTTATTCCAAGCTAGCCCTGTACTCTATTGGTTTCAAGGGATCCTATTATCATCGTAATAAATCTTGTGACGGCCGGATGGAGTACGTGACGTGCGACGGCGTAAGTAACGAACCCCCGTGTCACCGACCTACTAGTTCGATCCAGCACAAGAACAGCAATAGAAGTATCTAGAAGCTACTAGAATGACCTAGATACAAGTTTGGAAGGGGAAGAAAGGAAAAGGTGAAATCTAGCCGCAGCTAGCCTCGAGCTCGCGCTCGCCGCCGGTTCAGGTTCTGGTCCTTCGACGCCTCTTGCTGATGGTGGTGTTCATTGTTTATACTGTCTTCCCTTCCTGCTTGGCCCACACACTGTCTTCCTTCGGCCTTGGTCCAGCCCATATATCATTTCATCGGCCCAGCCCATAGTATCTCTATTAGGATCATCGACACCTCAATGTATATAGTAGCTTAGGTTGGACACCAGAACGGCCGACATGATCCCACAGCGAGGATGTGATTCGCTACGGGCGTGGCGCATTCAACCTCCAATGTGTTGAACCAAAATGTCGATTTATAGGGCTTTACTTTCGATGGAGAACCCCTTATTACCACATGCATCACCGACTCTTTGATCCTCTCTATCCTCGGATCCTCTTTACTTCTTCGACACCAATTGGGAGAGAGAAGTGAATAGAACCGAGTTCGTTGCATAGGAGCGATGTCTTTATCGAATCAAGCACGCAGTGTATAGGACTCGGTGCTACGGTGACATTTATGAGATCGAACTGGCTAAAACACCCACACTGCGGACGCTCTTAGGATCATGACACCCTGGCCGGCTGGCGCTGATAGTAGCTTACCGTCACAGCGTTTTGTGACACCAGAACGGCCGACATGACAAAAACAATCATGCAAGGGACAGCGAGGGCGGCGAGATTCGCGACGGGCGTGCGGCACAGGAGGCGCATGTGCACGGGCACGGCGTCGATCGCGAAATTGGTGTGGGTGCGTCAGAATGGAAGGCACGGACGGACGGACGGACAGCCGGGAGCGCATCTCCGTTGCACGCGTTGCTGGATGGATTCCGGGGGCAAGTGGTCGAGTGGAGTGGGGTGGAATACGGTTCGATCCCCATCTCGCGACGCCAAGAAAAGAAAACGGGATAGGGGTACTGCGACTCTGCGAGTGAGGGTGGGAGAGGCGGCATTCCTCACGTCGGCAGCTGGAGCTGACAGCCTGCGGTGCTTTTTGCCCGCGTCGGCGAGGAAGAGGACGCCAGTTCATTGGCCTCATGGAGGTGCATGAACATGCAGGCCCCTCCCGTCCCGCGGCGTGCCACCGTCTGCCCTCTCCCACTCTTCCTCGCGAACCTGTGCACGGCGCCAGAGCTCCGACCGTGGATGGGTGCGTGGCTGCATACGTTCGACTGATGGATGGCGGGTGCGTTGCGCGGAATGTCTCGCGGCGGCCGGCGGGGTTCGAAGAGACCGCCATCGTCGACGCAAGCACGTCGTTGGGCGTTGGCAGTTGGGCCGCGACGTCGACGTGGATACCGGGGCGCGTTTGTGTTCAGCCTCCCTGCCAAACCTGGGCATCCAGCCAAACTTCGGAGGTCGAAACGGCCGCCCCGATTTGGAAACCACAACTTGACACCGATATTGCGGTAGGAAACCAAACGCACCTCGTTTCTAAGGTCGATGGCCGAAGTTTGGTTTGTCTTCTACGGGCATCCAACCACCAAACGCGCCATCAGTTCGTAAACAACGGTTTGCTGTAATCCCCATGCCAACATCTGTGATTTTTTCATGATTTTTTTCGCTCCTGGCATCTTGGGATTTGAGAATGCTTCCCTCGCCTAGGCAGCTGAAGGCTGAAGCACTGACATTAGTAAAACGACGACAAGAAACATCACTTGTCCATTCGCATTGGTGAAATACGGTCGGCCTACAGAATTAGGCCGAGACGACTAAATGTACAGCCCACAACGAAAAGGTGGCCTAGTATTTGGATGTCTAGTCTCTCCTTCGGCCTACACGTTCAAGGCCCAAAACATTGGTAACATGAGCCCAGTGTGGCAAGGCCCGTCAATCTCCTCCCCACGGGCCACAACCGACCTTCCAGCCCCCTCTGCCCGCACCCAAAAATCCTCACGCCTATAAATGCCTGCCCCCTCACCTAGGGTTCCCTCTTCCCTCTTACAGCCGCCGCCGCCGCCGCTTCGCAGCCATGGGTAAGCCACCGTCTCCTCTCATCTCTCCTCACCTTTCGCTGCTACTCACGAGCTGATCGGGTGTGTCGCGTGGCTATGCGCAGGTAAGGTGCACGGATCGCTGGCCCGTGCCGGGAAGGTCCGCGGGCAGACGCCCAAGGTGGCGAAGCAGGACAAGAAGAAGAAGCCCCGCGGCCGCGCGCACAAGAGGATGCAGTACAACCGCCGCTTCGTCACCGCCGTCGTCGGCTTCGGCAAGAAGCGCGGGCCCAACTCCTCGGAGAAGTAGGCGCCGCGATGCGACGCCGTTCGGCTCGTACCGGTTCCTCATCCTTGAGTTTGCTTATGCTCTTGCTGGTAGTAGTTTCGCAGAGGAAGATCCTTCTGTAGTTTCAGTTTCGTTGTTCGTGTGATGAGATGGGAACTCGAGATTATATGTCTACCTCGTTATTAAGAATTTGAGATATGATGATATGAGCCAATGACTTTATTGTGCCTTATTGTTGTGCCTTTTGGTTGTCTTTGTGAATGTTATGCAAATAGTCAGTTGGATCATTCGTTGATGGCTACCTGACAATGATAATTTTTTGCTTAGGTCTCCCGCATTCCTCGTTTGATTAAGAAATTGGCTGTTTGTTCAATCAGTATTGCAGGCTTAGTATAAATTTTAATGCTACCCCAATTTGAAACCAGTTTGCTGATACATATGTACTAGGTTCAGGTAGTTGTGGATGGAAGTGTAACCAAGCCTCCTATTTGATTGAAATGTTTGTTCTATGCTAGTTTTTGACTCTGCACATGGCAGTGAATCACTGTGAAACGTAATGGGAAATGTAGGCCTGTGCAAAGTTAACTAAGTCAGGTGAAGTCAAGTTTTATTTGCTTTATGTACTCCGCACTTCATTCTACAATCCAACCATGAATGTCACAAAGTCCATAATTTTCTCACTTCTTTTTCATTGAAAAACAGGTCGGTTCACGTGTCTAATGAAATTGGGCACCCTACTATATTTTAGTTCTGTCCATACTGAAGCATTGCAAAAGAATTTATTGAATTAAGGCAGTTTATTTCACTTGAACACGACATAGTTCTGAGTCCTTGTTCTTCTCCAAGTTGGTACATGCCATGAATTGCACACCACAACTTTCATTTTTATTCTTTGGAAAATGGAAATCACAGCATGATATGTTTCTGGTGAGTCTGACCTGTGTATGTGACTGCAGCATTGCGACAAGCTGTTTGGTCAGGGAAATTGTTGTGGCATGCAGCATCTGACGATCTGATGCATTTGTGAAAATATCCCTGAATTGTTGGGATAGGTTGTGCTTTCTTCTAGTTACGTGTTCAGTCTTAACTCTTAAGTTACGTTGTTTATCTTCAAATATTTGTCTACGGGTTTATTTGTTCTGTGGGCATGATTGAATGTGTTCGTGCAGAGTGATGCAAATGCGCAACTGGTTACTGGGATTGGGGTCGTTTTGGGCTGTTATGTCGTCCAACAGTGTGGTCGGTCAGTCGTCAGTCCCTAACAAATGAACTTCATGCTAACCAATGAACTCCAAAATTGATTCCCTGCCTTTATGACAAGCTAACCTGCTCAAATAGCTGTTCCTTCTCCTTAATCTCTGCAGGGATATATAAGTAGCTGCAGAAATTTTCAGTGTAAAGGTTTTTTTTTATTAGCTCCCAACAGTAAGAGCCAAACGTCGATGGCTAGAGATAGCACTTCACTGGATCAATAAGCCCAATAAAAATCACAGCAGAAGCAGGTACAATGTTCCTACCTGTCCTAAAACTGCAGCATCGATATTGATTTTTGCAACATCCCTAGGATGGAGGGGCAATCCATCCACCTATTCTCATAGCCAGTATAAGGCCCTTCGGTTAGCCAGGAATCGAGCTAGGATCGATTATGGCTTATCATCACTATACAAATTAGTGAACCATTCCAACTAGCCAGGAACTCGGTGGCTAAATAACAGAATCGTTCCAGGAACTCGGTTGCTAAATAACCAAATGAGCCCTTAGACTTCCAATGGCTTACTCGGTTCTCACTAGCCAGCTTCAACTCACTTAAGAAATTATTGATAGAACTGGAGGTGTGGTGCGTGAGCTATGATTAAATACCCTCACGGATAACTCGGCCGCGTCGTCCAGATCTTCCACATGATCACCATGACCTTGACAAATTCATGTTTCAGAGTGTCAATGGTGAAGAAAAAGCATTGAGTTTTTTTTTTGCGTTAGGTGCCATGCAGAACAATTTTTTACCATAGTGCTATGCCCTTTTTAAAAAAAAAATGTGTCGCCCTTTATTAGCTCATAATATAATTACAAACACCATCAGGTGGCAACAAAAACCATACAAGTCGAGCTTACTCTGAGCGTCCCCACTGGAGCTCCTACCCTCATCAACAAATTTAACCTGCTGGAAACTAGATATCCTTGCTTTAGTCTCTCAAACAATTGGACCATATGGTCGTAAACCCTCTCCTCGGATACACCTAACTGCATGCCCATATATTTCCGGTTCTTTTTCTTCATCACTGGAGCTCTTTTTTTTTCTTCATCACTGGAGCTGATCTCCCAATCCTGGGCGCTTCAGCTGCCGTGGGCGGATGCGTGCAAGCCGCAATTGAGCCTGCCAGCTTTGGCATGGTCCGATGGCCGTGTTGGGCCGAACACCGGGTTCAAGCCCGGCTGCAAGTGTATTGGGCCTGGCTGTCATTCCTTCCGAATTCGCTCCATGAGTTACTAAACCTTTTGTGCTTAAAAAAATGATAATGCTTCGGGTAGGATGTCAGTTTCGTCCGGACAAACGTTGGTGGCCTTGATGCCCGAACCACCCAACAGGCAACACCGCTATCCATATGGAAACAAAAATAAAAAATCACCGCTCTCATCTTTTCCGAATCGTCGTTGTTTTCTCATCCATTCTTGAACCAACTCTCCACGCCCGCATCGTCGCGGCTTGCTCCACGGCAACCACGCTGCCGTGGCCACAATGTAGCGGCGTGCTGCACCACGTCCGAGCGCTGTCACCTGCTTTCCTATCTCCCCACTGCCACTCACCACTCGCTACCGAGTTCTTCGAGCTGACACGATGTAGTCCACGGCGACTGCTCCGACGCGGCGTTCTTCACCACGCCGAGCTGCTTGCCTGCCACCATCCTCCCTCTCTAAAGATGAGCATTCAGGCCGCCCGGCCCGGCCCGGCCCGGTAGGGCACGGCACGGTAGAGCACACCGGGCCGTGCCGCCCCAGTCCACCGTGCCTGGGCCGAGCCACTTTCCGTGCCGGGCCGGCCCAGAAAGCACAACCTTTTTAGTAGGCCAGGCCGGCCCGATGCCCGCTTCAGTAGGGGAAGGGAGAGAGGATGGAGGATGAGGTCTAGGCGCCGCCCTGCGGCCGCGGTGGCGCTCGAGGCGACGACGTGGAGGAGGACGCGAAGGCGGTGATGGCGTCGAGGCACGTGACCACGAGGAGAAGGCCAGGGAGGCGATGCAGAGGCGCAATGACGAGGCGATGCAGAGGCACTGGGCACAGTCGGCGGCGGCCTCAGATCGGCCGCGTGCTCCAACGGCGGCGGCGGCGGCCTCAGATCGGCCGCTTGAGGCTGCCGTGCTCGAGGTCGGCGCCTGCGGTGCGGCCACGCGGGACTACGGGAGGCTTTGACCACGGAGGAGGAGCATGCGGCCGTTGGTGCGGGGGGCGAGGAGGTGGCCACCGTCGGTGGTGCGTGCGTGGAGGAGGTGGCTGTTGGCGCGGTGGGTGAGGAGGAGACGAGGTCGCGACTACGACGCGCATCCACGCGAGCCTAGTGCCGTAGTGCGGTGCGGGGTGAGGATGCGGTAAGCGGCGCGGGGATGGGGAATTGGGGACGCGGTAAGCGACGTGGAGATAGGGATGCGTTAGGTTGGATGAAAGTAGTCTGGGTTAGAGTGAAATAGTATGGGCTGCTAGGGACCGTGCCTCCACCGGGCCTGCCCTATTTTACCGTGTCGTGCCGCCTGGCGGGCTAGGGGTGTGGCCTAGGCACGCCCTGGTCCTCCGTGCCGGGCTGACCCGGGCCCACTGGCCACCGGGCCGGGCCGTGCTTGGGCCGGGCCAAAAAACCGGGCCTCGTGCCGTGCCATCGGGCTGCGGGCTGCATGGTCATCTTTATCCCTCTCCACTGCACCTGAGTGCTGCTTGCTGGCTACCGCAGTTCCCCACCAGGTAGGCAATGGCTGCCGGTGGCGCCATGTTTTGTTTCTGGTGTGTTTCAGAAGTTATTTTCAAGTGTTTCATATGTTTTATCTTTATGTTGCAAAAAGTGCATATGTTACAATGGCTACACACGTATGTTTCAAGTGTATGTTCCACATGTTTAATATGTTTTAGACGTATGTTGCAAATGTTTCAGCTGTTTCAGACGCATGTTTCATGTGTGTCATCTAGATGTTGCAATGACTATACAAGTATGTTTAATAGTATATTGCATATGTTGCAACGGTCGGACGGATGTTGTAGAGGAGATGAGACGTTAGGACGAGGGAAGGGGCGCGGCCGAGACAGAGCGCGGCGGAGGACGGGGGCGCGGCAGGGATGGCGCCACGGTGAGGGAAGGAGCACGGCGTGGTGGGGGAAGGAGCGCGACGGGTTTGACGTCGGGGACGCAACCGGGATGGGGATCGTGTCGTGGATGGTCGGACGCGGTCACTGGCGCGGGATCGGTCGCGGTCGTCCGGACACGATTCGCTGGCACGGGATCTGATGCAAGCGCGGAGGGCATCCGATGCGAAGCGGTTGTAGACGCCGGAGCTGCATCCGGACGTGGGTTTGGGGCCGGACATCCGGACGCTAGCGTCTGTCGTTAAAATAAACGACGGGCCGTCATCATTATGAGCTCCTCCTCATGATTGTATCCGCACGCTCTGTAATCCGGCTGGATCCAGCGGGAACACCGACATTTTTTTCCGTCCTATACAGGTTATAGCACAGTTAGTGTGGACACTAAGCCACTGTGTCGTCAAATGGAGACGGGACAGCACAGCGGTGCGGATTCTCCAGTGCCCGTGCTTGAAACCGGCTGCGGGCATACGGCTTGTCCAGGCCGCACCGCAGCCGCCGACACGTTCTCGGGACACTGATTTCCACGGCGACCATCTGCCCCGTCGGGAGGACAGGCGCCCGTGGCCGCCATGCCAAAAACGACACTCGAAAGATTAATTCCTAGATTATGATAACACTCGGGTGGATGACAGGTCGGGTGGATGATAAGTGGATCCATCTATGTCTGTGAATGT